GGGTAAAGTTACATCAACCAGAGACTCAAAACAACTCTTCACACTTCCTGGAAGAGCTGACATGAGAGGCATGCCCCCCCGACGCGGCTCCTGTACCTTCCTCCCTTACTATCTTAGGCACATGCCCACACACACACACACACACACACACACACACACACGCATATCCTCATTCATGAAAAAAAAAAGAGAGATTTGCTGACACAGACATGCACGCAAACAGATAAAAGAGCCACATTGTTGGCAGTCTGCTGTTGGAGAAAGTTGCACCCGACAGAAGGGGCTCGGTGTGGGCAGCAGAGAGCTGACGACACGGCGGCTGTTCCGACTTTCTGCAACCTGATGGAGTGAGCGCGTTTGTGTCATGGAAGGCCGTCGATGGCGACGAGATGATGATGATGATGATGTGGAGGAGGAAGATAGCAGTATGGAGGCAGAAGAAAGCGGTGAGGAGAAGGTGCGGGGTTGGATATGAGGATATCGATGGTGACTCCGTCCCCGGCTTCAATACAAGTGAAATGCTTAGACGTCTGAAAGAGCACCAGCATCCTTTTCTTTCCACCTGCATCCCTCCATTCATCTCCTCCCTCCTTCACCTCCGCTCGTCTGTCTGTCTCTTTCTCTGGCCACACATCGACGCGCTGAAAGAGACAACCCCTAACACAGAGAGAGACCCTGAGTGTCTGTCTGAACCCTATAGAGTTAGAGACTGTCTGAGTCTGAATAAGCCTTGATCTGCAGAGGTAGATGCACAGAGGCGCAGTTATAAAGGGAGGCGGAGGAAGGGCTGCGAGAGAAAAAGACAAAAGAACACAGGAGAGCGTGAGTGCGTGAGAAAGAGAGACGTACTGTAGAGAGCTGGAGGGAGAAAGAAAGTGAGAGACGGAGGGAGAATGAGCATGAGAGTGTGTGAGAGAGATAAATAGAGACAGAGCGAGCAGGAGGAGGGGGGAGAGTGTAAACAGCAGAAGGTTCACTGGGTTCAGTGTGCAGTAGAGGAGCTGAAAGATGGGCATCAGAACTCGAAGCCCAGGAGGCTGGATAGTGGTGCGTGACTCACATACTCATGCATATATTCACGCACACACACATATGCACAGGCACGCAGAAACATTCAAATGCTATTTTATTTCCAATCATGAACCCTAACACACACACACCCAAGGGAGACATTAATAATAGAGCCATTTTAAAAGTGCATCATATTGACACCTTTTTCTCCATCGTTTTATTACCGTACCACCCAACAAATTTCTCTGTTTGTCATTAGTATGTTGATAAATTGACTAAATTATTTTCACAAAATTGCTTCATGGCAGCATTCAGCATCACTGCTACATAACGTAAACGCCTTGCTACGATGGACTCTGCTGTGTTTTTGTTGTTGTGTTGACTCACAAAATACAATATCACACACACACACACACATGATCTGACATCTTCACCGACAAGAAACACGAAATTTGTTGGCGTTTATAATCACATGTCACCCTTTCCTTTTTACTGTGCGGTTTGCCTTTTTTATTTTTTTTATTTTATTTTGATCTGACAATGACTAACATCCACAAGAAAATACTTGGTTCACTGCTGTATATCAGTGGCACGGCTCAGCATGACGAGTCAAACTGATACTGTCAAAGCAGCCTGTTTTCTCCACATGAGTCACTGGATCTCATTTAGACACTGAAAAACACTGCACACACACTTGCAAAAAAAAACAAAAATTGACATCACAAACCATCACGTTAACCCAGATCTGAGGCCTGCATCAGTGCATGCTTTCACAGCTTGTCGGCGGAGACGCACAACACGCTGAAAGAGCTGCGACTATTTCAAATTCCAGACCTCACTGAGTGAACTACAACACGCATCCCCAGAGAGAGCAGGGCGACGACACTCGGCCGAGACATGGCGCTGAGCTCGGTGCTGCCAGAAAGTTTTCATACCATAACAAGGTGTAGCCTATACTGTAACAGAGGGTTTTATATCAGCTGTTCAAAGCATTGCGGCTTTTTCAAAGACACCGTCGCTCACAATGCTGCAAGACAAAGCTCAGTTTCACACAAAGGGCTGTGCATGTCGGAGCTGAAGCGAGCGGAATCCTGACAACTTTCCTGTCTCACAAGGTCTGGCTAATTAACACCTTGGCAGAGATGCGTTCTACCCTCTCTGAGAACAAAGGCATCGCTACTGTCGCCTCTCCGTCCTGCCACATTTAGCGCACGGCATGTCTAACAGGGAGGCTAAGAGGCATAAGTTGGAAACGGCGGCAGGCAGGTGTGCACATCCGCGCGTTTGGCACCTGGATGTCTGTTGCCATGGTGACCGACAGAATATCCCTGCACAATGTGATATTTTTAATGAAGTTTGAGTGCTCTTCACTTCACTGTCTGGTGCGACTGTGAAGATGTGAAGTGAAGATGTGAACTTTTTTTGTTTTGTTTTGTTTGTGGTGTCTGTCACTGTGTGTTCACCAGAGAAACTCCAGCAGCTTATGTCAGCAGCAGGCTCGTAACCAAAGCGTAACGTGAAAGGCAAAGGGAATACTAACTAGTGCCCGTGAATAGTGTGTGCGTGTGTGTGTGTGTAGATGTGAAGACACGTGTGTGTGAGTTTGTCCTCCTGTGTGTGTGTGTGTGTGTGTGTGTGTGTGTGCATGCGCAAAATGTGTATATTTACCACAGTATGACTCACAAGCCACATCAGAGAATGTGCTGCAGAAGATTGAGACAACACAGTTTCAAAGAGGAAGCTGGCACTGATAGTGCTGAAAGAGCAACAGGCACAACACACACACACACACACACACACACACACACACACACACACATGCACACAATGACACTGTGGAAATCCCCTTTTGTTCACCTGAATGAAATAAACCTGGGAGTGCCTGAAACCTGCAATATACATTTTAAATGCGTCATTACGATTGTGTTCCATTTCCCGATGAAACATCAAATCAAAAGCGAACACTCGATCTGTTGTTAAAATACTCATTACACCAGTGATTCTTATTCATGGCATTTCTCCGACAGAAGTGGAAAAGTCCTTTTTGTATTACAAATTGTTGAGGCAATCGTCGTGCTGGTACAGTGTGGCCTATAGGCTATAGGCCACACTGTACCAGCACGACGATACTGCACACAGCAGGCGCTCCTTTAGTGTGAGCTAAAGTGTAATACACAATATCCTCCAGCAGATGCCAATGTTGACTCACCAATGAGGGTTGAGATTTACTGTACACACTACAGTGGTGCGGGCACATGCGGTGACGGGGGGAATCTTCTCCCACATCAAACGTCAAGTAGAACAGGCCATGAATCATCTCATATTACATGATAATCATTTAGTTTTCCATGACATTATTACACTGGAGCAGCCTCCTCCAACTGAACATGTGATGCAACTGGCTGTTTGAAGCCTCTTATTAAGGAAAGTGGGGAGTCGGGGGGCCTGCAAGAATCCATGCTGCTAAGTGCCTATTAACCCCCCCCAAGCGTGACAGTTACAGTGCGCTTCTGCAGCAGTGTGTGTATTTGTGGAAATGTGCATCGTGCATTTTTAATGGTGCGTTCGTGTGTGCGTGTGCTTAATCACATGTTAGTAGTAGATGCTTTTGTGTGCTGTTGTTCACGCCTGCGTTAAGAAACCCTTTTTAACAAAGGCGACAAGAGGGATCAGTTTTGATTTGCACGCGGCAAAGAATTGATGTTATTCTTTTTATTGAGTTCTACAAAAGACATGCAAGCACAAATCTCTGCAAACTTACTCAATAGTTTAAAAGATCAGCGCGACCTTCTGCTGCTATTAATACATAATTGACGACGTTCTTTCTAATAACACATCAAGCCTAAATGTTATCAAGTCATTAAAAGAGGGCAATGACTTTCTCACCTTTTTAATTCGCTGTCAAGTCTGCAGATGTAAATGTTAACAAGTTGTGCGGATGCTCTGCTGCTCTTTTTCACATGGTAAGTTTGTCGCACTGACCATTAGACTGGTCTAAATTAAAACATTATACAGAAAGACAAAGCCAGAGGAAACCAGCAGATGGATTTTTCTACAAACTGGGATCTGAAAATGCATCTATGGTTCATTGTTGATCCATCAATTTAGAGTAGCTGATTGGTTAAACAGTTAAAGGGGAACCTCGGTGATTTCACTCAAGCACGAGAATGAACTCCATATGGAAAGAGCGTATAATGTCTTCTGTGGCTCTGGAGAAGCTGAATTCATCCCCCCCCGGGATGAATCATACTGACTTTGTGATCCTATTTAATATATATACAGATGGCTGTATATATTGCTATTCAAGGTCCCTCGAGCACAAATTTTAAAAACTTTGGTGGTTAACCTGACCTTTACTCTTGTTCCATAACCAGGCCAAATCAATTTGCCCAATACTGAAAAATAAGTGAAATTCCCACCAGCCTCAGCTGTACTTTGTTTGGTGATAATTAGCAAATAGCATGCTAACAGTAAAACTAAGATGTTGAACATGGTTCACATTATACCAGCATTTGCATGTTAGCAATTCCACTCTGAGCCTGTTAGCATGGCAGTGTTAGCAACACCTCCTATAAGTACAGCGTCACAGAGCTAGCTCGGCTGTAGAAACGTAACCTTGTTCAAGATCAAGAATTTATGTACGCGTGTGTAAGTATGTATTTGTGTACGTATGTGTACGTATGTATGTATGTATGTACATCTCTCAGATTTTTCCCCCCTATATATTTATTAATATTAATATGCAGTGCCTCCTCTCTTATCACAGTTGACTTCTAAAGCTTTCATCCTACAAAGTGAATAAATAAATAAAATTATATAAAGCAAAGGGGAGGGGGGTATTATGTAAAAATAAATAAATAGCACATACACTTCCTTATCCTGTTGACCCCCTCGTTATCACCAGTTGGTACAGGCCACAATGCCGTAGCCCACTATCACTCCCCCCCGTCCCTAAGCTGCACAGTTCCCTACAACCCTACAGAGCCTGACAGAGAGAACAAGAGCATGTGTGTGAGTGTGTGTGTGTTTGTGTGTGTATGTGTGTGTGAGACACAGAGAGGCAGCCGAGATGAGTGTGAAGCAGTGAGAGGGAAAACCTAGAAAGAACAGCAAAGGCGATCAGAAAAGGGGGGGGGGGCAGCGAACAAAAAAAAAAGGCAGTGCAGATAGAAGACAGAGAGGAGAAGAGGGGAGGGAGATAAAGTGTTATGTGAATGTACTATCTTTGATAGTCCTGGTACCAAAGTCAAAAGATGTAATGACTATATGAACAGCCACTACACACACCAGCATCCTGTCCTGGAGCCTTGACAGGAAGGGACAGGAAAAAAAAGCCACACACACTCAAAGGGCAAAAGAAACGCTCTCTACAACCGGGTCCCACATCCACGGGATCATGTCGTCTACTGGGTCAACCAACCACAACAAGCGTCTGGCATGTAAGTAACCACCAGTGTCAATAAGTTAACAGAAAAGTGGTACTGAGCAGACTTGAAGTACTGCACAGTATATTATAACTTAATGCCCTGTATAGTTTACCCTGCATCATTTTTGTTATTTAATACTTTATGTACTCTTTTTTTCATTCTGTGCAGGTATTTACTACATTCATTTATACAGTCCCTAAATATATATATATATATATATATATATATATTGTGTGCATATTTTATAATACAATTGTGCAAAGAATGGTATTAATTGCCTTCTACTGGTTCGGCTCTACATGGGTCATGATTCACCATTCACAACAAAACTTATCTTATTATGCAAGCAGTTAAATTCAGCGTTAGTTGGACAAGATAACAGATCAACAGTACTTTATGTTACATTCAGTGTGTAATTAGGTACTGCATGGCTGTTATGTCATATTCTCTTACTGAAAACGGGATCCGAGGATTCATTATATTATTACTCACTAAAAAATAAAAGCTGAATTGCACATGTTCAGTTTGCCCGTTGACTTCATAGTCTGACCTTGTTAGCAACTACTGTAAAAATCGAATTATCTCATCTGTTTTAACCAAATTAGCCTGACAGCCTTGATGGTGGTGCGACACTGCTGGTGCAGATGAGGTTTAATCACAGTGAAGAGATAACAACCACTTCCTGAGAGTCTGACTGAGCTACAGGAAGAAGGTCTTTATGTAGAAACAGGGAACACAGGCCAACATCTACCTGCTTGCCTGAGAAACATCGTCTTGCTTTCTAATTGAATACATGACCTCACCAAGAGCTGTTTCTAAGTGTCAAGAGAATAATCCGCCTGCTGCTTTTAATGAATAAGGTTGTGTGCAAGTGTTTGTTAATGTGTACAGACTAGAGGCAGAGCACCACACATGAGCTCTGTGGAGACTACTGAAAGCCCTGTTGTGACTGACCTAAATTGGGAGCAGTGGGCATGGCTGGAGGTCATCTTTGCATTTAGCCCGAGTGAAGTGCCTTAATGGCTTTGGGAATGGGAATGGGAATGGCCTGGGAATACACAATCTGATCAGACACTCGCAGAGTAGGTGGTCAGACGAGGTTCAAGATATAATCACAGCACTGGGATCATAGGAGACTGAAGATGAGAGTGAAGTAGTGAGTTTAGACAACGTGTTCATATGAAAGTAAAGCATTTACAGTATGAAGACGATGACGACGGTGGGTGTTGTGGAACAGATGGGTACCATGGTATCATAAATGAGCTGTCTGGATTTACTTTCCACTACATGGCTGTGTGTTTATGGATATATGTGTGTGAGGGGAGTGGGGAAGCATGGCAGGGGAGGTGGCTGTTGTGGTGCAGTGATCTCACTCATAAATGATTGATGCTTGATGGACTGCTGTGGCCACGAGGCCGGCAGAGGAGAGCGATTGGCTCCGTAAACAATAGTAGTAATACCGAAAAATGATGCGGCTGTTATGCTGCTGAGAGCCGGTTGACACCATCATCGGCCCCAGGGGGGGGTTAGGAGCTGCAGGAGAATAAGGGTGGAGTTTGGGATTGATGGGCTGTCAAATGAGACTGGCCATGCAGTTCAACTGCCTTACTAGCTCTCTCTCTCACCCAGTCTCTCTGTTCTCTCAAAAACAGAAAGATGATCATGGGATTTCTTTCCACTTGCCACAAGGGGACTGAATGCCTCACCATGTGACTCCTTGGTTCAATGGGAACATTTGTTCCCTGCTTTCTTTTGCAGTTCCCAGGACTCCTGATGTATGACTGCAGCATTACAATGATACAGAGCTGGGCTGACGACGCACGTTTAATGTTTTCATCGCAGAAACGATGCTGATAAGGTCAACAGAAAAAAAGAAGCAGAGAGAGAGAGAGAGAGAGAGAGACGAAATGCGCATTGCATGCTGGGGTGAAATATAACAACACGAGAGAGGCCAGTGTGTGATTTAGCATGCTATGATGGGAATGTAAGCAGAGCAGTGGAAGTCGCTGAAGGATCAGACCGTGGAAGAATAATCGGAAGGATTGAAAATATCATGTGCTACAGCTCAGCTGTCACCTCTGGCCATGGATCAACCCC